GAGAGAGAGAGAGAGAGATTAAAAAAGCGATATGTATGTTACCACTTTATGTTATTTTCCTTCTGCCTGGAAATTTCACCTAATTTTTTACCCTTTCTTCTTCTGCTTGATTTTTACTGTTTAACAAAACTCTCAAAGATGCAAACATCTAAGAGGAATCATCATTTTTGTTTATCGAAAAAATTCATTAATTTCGGTGTGTTGTAGGAGATATCCACTTTTATCCACTCATATTCACAGATATTCAGTGTTTCTTATTTGGAATGTTCAGCCGTTCTCACCAGCCGCCATCTTGAATTTTTCTTATCTAAATTTATTCACGTATATTCACAATATTTTCGAAAATTCAATGAGAAAATATTTATAATATTCAGAAATAATTACAAAAATTCACAGTTTTAAAATTCGAATGAAGCCCCTAGGCAAACATCAAATATGCAAACTGATATATGTACAAACACACGTGGTACTGAACGCCTTCTCTATTTAGTTTCATTAAATAAGTAATTCTGACGGCAAATGCACTATCGTAATGTTTGATATTAGCAAAGGGGCATTTCTTTCGTCTCGCGCTTTGTGTCCATCGTATTTTCCATTTGGTACTCGCAATGAACGCAATTAACTATTCTACATAGGCTTAGAGCGAAAAGTTCAATACCGAAATTGTCACGTTGTCGCTAAGTGAGTGCTTTGTCTGTTTCATACACATTCGTGACCACATTTTCCTGGAATCAATTCTCGGTTCATGTTGTTCGGCACCCACGGCCCTGTCGCAGAGTACACATTTGAAATGTGTATGAGTCCAGCAGTTCAGCTCTTCGTATGCATTGTGCACATTGGATGGAAAAACAACGTGGTTCTTAAGGAATTATCCGGTTGCTGGTGTAAACAGCACAGCTCTCAATTTACAATAAATGCTTTGAGCAATAAACGCTAGACTGTCCCAAATTAAATTGAGGTCGTGATTTTGGTGATGCTCCGGCGTTTTATGAAAAAGGGTCACGAAAAAATAAGATTGCGGTTATCAGAAACCTATTCTGAGATTCGCTACTACTCCCGCATTTCAGTTTTCTGAACACCTTTCTTCCTCAAAAATTCATAAAATGACCAATGGAGCGAAAGGAACAGCCAAACTCCGATCCCGATGTTTGGAAGCATATGTTCGCACACCCCCAACAAAGAAGTTGGCAGTGTCCGATTTCATCTATCTGCTCTATTTTTCGAAATGACTGAATATTTCTTTCTGAAAATCAGTCTATCCCAAAATTTGGGATTGACCTCGGATTTTGCAATTATCACTATTCCCAAAACTGTTTGGCACAAAACGACGAGAAATGCAAAATAAATAACATTCCCGGTGAGAATTTTTAGAAAAGACACGCTTTCCCGTACAAAAGTACTGAAAAAAGGAAGAAATATTAAATTTGCCCATTTTTCATATTTTTCATACAAAATCATCTGAATGTCACTAATTGAACTGTTCTGACAATGAGGCGGGGTAGGGTGATGCGTAAAATCGTTTTTTTGTGTCAAAATCCAGGTGGAAACATGTTGTCAGATTTTCAGAATGGTTCAATTAGTGACATTCAGTTGATTTTGTATAAAAAATGTGAAAAATGGGCAAATTTAATATTTCTCCCTTTTTCCATTACTTTTGTACGGGAAAGTGTGTTTTTTCTAATATTTCTCGCCGGGAATGTTATTTATTTTGCATTTCTCGTCGTTTTTTGCCAAGCAGATTTGGGAATAGTGATAATTGCGAAATCCGAGGTCAACCCCAAATTTTGGAATAGACTGATTTTCAGAAAAAAAAAAATTCAGTCTATTTCGAAAAATTGAGCAGATAGATGAAATCGGACACTACCAACTTCTTCGTTGGGGGTGTGCAAACATATGCTTCCATACATCGGAATCGGAGTTTGGCTGTTCCTTTCGCTCCACGGGTCATTTTATGAATTTTTGAGGAAGAAAGGTGTTCAGAAATCTGAAATGCGGGAGTAGTAGCGAATCTCAGAATAGGTTTCTGATAACCGCAATCTTATTTTTTCGTGGCCCTTTTTTATAAAACGCCGGAGCATCACCAAAATCACGACCTCAATTTATTTTGGGACAGTCTAATAAACGCTACACCAAAAACAAAGCCAAACGAGATCAAGAGTAAGAGACATCGAGAGAAGAGAGAAGTTTGTTAGAAACGAGAGCGAAAAAAAACAACACGCTCACAAGAAGAAAGCATCGACTTTTTGCACGCGAACTCACTTTTGTTCAGTTTGTTTATGTGCAAACGGATACTTATTGGCGGTACATAGACATCGCTTTACACATGACTACAAACGGGAGAATTAGCTCATATAAAGAATGCCCGCCAAATCTACACAAGGGAAGGAGCGCGTAACAATATTATCACACCACGTCACATAATAGCGTTGAGCATAGGGCCATGTACGTGAATGAAATAAGGAAAATCAATTCGATTCTATTTTTAGCAATAAGCTCCGTTTGCATACATATGAATGCGCGCGTGAGAAGTGACAACAATAAATACGTGTGTATGTGCGTGGGGGAGAGAGGGAGAGGGAAAGGGAGAGAGAGAGAGAGAGAGCAACTTGTGTTCGTCGCTCAGAATATTTTTTGCTCATATCATATACGAATTTGTGTTTTTTCTTTCGCTCTGTCTCTGCTATTACCCACCACACACAGCTCAACTCAATTTCGAGTTTGCTTTTCCACACTTTTCACCTTTCACCGTCAATTTTCGAACTTTTTCATACTTTCTAGCTCTCATTCAAATACCACGGAGATGAAGTTTCAAGTAGCAAATTGGCTGTCATCGAATATATTAGTCTGTCATTCCTTGGAAATATTCTTCGCTGTCAATTCCCATAAAGGTTTTTAGTGAGAAAAAAAATAGACTGACTTCACTGTTTCTACCACACAAATCGAGTTTATTCCTCATTTTCTCTCTTTCTCATTTTTATGATCATCAAATTTTGTATTTTTTCAACACTTTCTTTTGCTTTATCCATTTTCTTCAAATACTTATTTTTATTTGTTTTCCCTCTTCCTCATATCTTTTCTGTTATATGTACAAAAGTTGAGGAAAGAGTACTTTCGCTTGACTAGATACGGTCACAAGCATATAATTTGTTAACCAACAAAGAAAACAATATAAAATTTATGAAGTGTACATCCATTGCCAATTGTATAAATATTTATATGCATATATGAATGTCCTAGAATGAAAACGCAACTTCTATTCACAACACATATGTGAAACAAAAATAAAAAATTTATTGAAATGAAACCACACAATCGAATTTTTTCAAAGTGTAACAACAAAAAAGATTTTTTTAAAGTGTAACATCGGTATGTTGTTACACTTACTTACTATGTTATGTAGTATATGTTATATGTGTTGTGAATAGAAGTTGCGTTTTCATTCTCGGACATTCATATATTCCTAGACGCTTTCTTTCATTTCAATAAATAATATATTCGTATTCATATTCTGAACAGAGTATCAGGCATTCATTAATTTTATAAGACGACCAATTCCATATCAAGCAAAAAAAATATGTCCTGTTCCGTCCCGTTGAACTCGAAACTCTTATGAGAATCATTGCCAATGGATAATTACATTGAAAGTTTACGCCTTGAACTTTGTACTCTCTGAATTTAAATTGAATCTACAGTCATACATCAACGGAAGCATTCATGTTTCATTCCGTAGGCTACTTTCACCTTTACAAGCAATGCGTTAGATTGATGAGAATCCAAACTGTTTATGTATTTCATGTTTCCTATAGAAACAACCATTTTCTCGAGATCGTTACATGATTCTTTCTGATGAATCTGAACTTTACCATCAAATGCTACTTTGATTCTCATCGATTTGGTATTCTGAATGTTTCAGCATTTGTTTGAATACATTAAAAGGACTTGATGGTAAAGCACAGGAATAACATTAACCCTCTAATGCATTAATTTTTCCCAAGTCTGGGAGTACTGATACTTGGTTGATTTTTGGTCATAGATAATTAAAAAAATATTCATAATCCTGGAGTCCGCATGGTTTAGTCAGGAAATGCGATTGACATGAATCAGAGAACAATCAAATCCATTGTTTAAAAGTGTCAAAAATGTGTCAAATTTTTGTTTTTGCAAACATTTTGGTTTACAACTTTACAATCACACTACATAGACGAATATTGCCAAAAACAAAAATAAAGAGAAAACATTGACGAATAAAAATTCCCATTGAAGTAATGTGATCCGATGTTTACGTTCTACAGGCGTTCAAATGTTGCCCGTCTAGAGGCGGTTGTATCTAATGGGTTAAGCTGTGTTTTTCGTCTTAGGTAAGCATAACCTTGTATAAAAAAAACTGAAAAACACACATGAAATAACTGTATCGATTTTATGCATTGTCAATTTCCATGATTCAGGAACAGGCTCATTTTTCTCATCCACTTACACCCAATTTCAAATTCTTCTTCATACTAGGCGAATTCAGAGAGAAATTCAATGCGACTTATGAACCAATCAATCGAGAGAGAGAGAGAGAGAGAGAGAGAGAGAGAGAGAGAGAGAGAGAAAGAGAGAGAGAGAGAGAGA